GATGCCACGGGACGGCCGCGTGGGCTTTGTGCGGCGCCGCCCTGCGAACTAGGAGCTGGGACGCGCCGGTGCTCCGGGCTGGCACAGCTAAGCTGTTCACTCCTGCTCTTGCCATTCGTCCAGCGGTCTCGAGTGGTAGGCACAAGAATTGTTTCTTTTCCGCGCTTATGCTTAAGAGCCTTAACCAGGGTGACATCGGATCAGAAGAGATCTATACCCGTCAGGCCCAAGGCATGTCGTCCAGTTTATATATAATACGGCTCTTGTTAAGGCGGGAGTCGCCTACCTTTTACCATCGCAGAAATCGCTGTTGCCATGACGGCAAAGAAAGGATGGGGCAGGTACCTCCTAACAAGTTTGTGTTAGCTGAGCAAAAGCAAAACTGGTGACCTGGGTGAGTGAGCTTGATCATCAAAATATGCTGAAAGCCAAGAATGTCATTAGTATTTGTGGGATTAATCGTTGAGTATCGTGTGTCCCCAGCTCTGGCATAAAGTACATTTTGTGTAAACAAGGCACTGTAGTTAGAAATTACTGTGTCGGTATCCTTGTGTATTCTGTGAACAGCGCAGTTGTAGTAAAGTAGAAATAACAGCAATCTCCAGAGCGTTGGGTGGAAAGCTATAGGATGAACGCCGCTATACTCCAGATCCCGGCTGGTGGACAAGTGGATCTGTAGAGAGCGTGGGGTTTCCTCTCAGACACGCCAGGTTCCTAGCCTTCCAGTGCTGCTGTAAAATACAGAATACTTTTGAGCTTGCGTTTTCACTAGAAAACAAATAAGGAGTCATGCATCTTAAGGTGCTGTGTGTGTGTGTGTGTGTGTGTGTGTGTGTGTGTGCTCAGTACCCGGGATTGATCCCAAGGCCTTCACACTGGGCTGCATCTTTTGAGAAAGGGTCTGGCTAAGTCACTTAATTTATGATATTCCTGCCTCAGCCTCCCAGAGTGCTGGGACTACAGGTGCACCAACCTGCTTAGCTCTTGCATTCATTTCCTGGGGCAGGGAGGATCCTTGGAGGCCCAATGTTTTGTTGTTGTTGTTGTTTGAGTTAAACCAGGTTCATTGGTGTGCACCTGTAGTCCTAGTTACTTGGGAAGCTGAGGCAAGAGAATCACTTGAGTCTAGGAGTTCCAAGGCCAGCCTGGGCAACATAGTAAGACTTTATCTCTTGAAAACTAACAAACCAAAAACGGGACCAGCCTACCCATTTCTTGATTTTCTTTGCTATACCTCCTCTGTGTAGGCCTCCCATAACCTTTTCTTTGTGCTCTACAGTTAAAATAATCATTATCTATTTAAATGTCTTTTTCTCTCTTGCTAGACCTTGTTTTGTTCATCTTTTTATGGCCAAGACCCCACTGTTCAAAGGCTTGCATGTTTAATAGGATCTTGGCAAATGGTGATTTGAATCATGCATAGGCTGTCTGTGTAGAAAACGAGAGGTCTCAAGGTTATCATGACAGAGGTTGGTGTCATTCCCAGTAAATGCTAGGAATCTGTGTACGACAAAGCATCCATAACACTCCCTGCTGCCTCACTTCACAATAGTTTCCCTTTTTATTGACATCTTCTAGTATCCCACACTTATTACCACATAAAGCATTCATTAATGAATCCGTGTGGATGCATTGTTACTGACAAAAGTCCGTGCTTTGTTCGGGCTCCTCAGTCTCTGCCACTCTTCTGTCTTACCTAGAATGACACCGCATTTAGATGTCGCATCTCTTTGGCTCTGACAGTTTCTCGGATGTCCTGTATTTTTGGAGGCTGTGACAGTTTGAGGAGTACTGGGAGTGTTTTGCAGGCCGCCTCTCTCTTGGAATTCCATGTTTTTCTTATGGTTGGACTAGGATTATGAGAGAAAAAACAGAGGTGAAACAGTTTTCATCACCTGCATCCTGCTGTCGTGATTTATCACTCCTGGTGCTGACCTTGATCACCTGGCTAAGGTAGTGTTTGTCTGTTGTGGTAAAGATAGTTCTTCTGTTCCCTTTTCATACTGTGCTCTTTGGGAATAAGTCAGTATCGGCAGCCTATGCATAAAGGGTGGGGAGTAATATTCCTCTTCCTTTAAGGTCCAGTATCTGTTATCTGAATGTTTTCTGCTCTGGAGATTTGGATTTATTTTATACTTTGAATATAACTCCACCCCATCTTGTTGCTCAAACTGTTCAAAGCTTTGGCCATGATGTTTTAAATACTTTTTAAAATCATGTGATGCTGATTTGAAGCTAAGCAAAAATGAATCAGACTTAATATTTCTCCAAAAATAAGGATTAAACACTTTTTCCTGTCTAATCAAAGTTGCTTACCATCCTTGCTTGCCCAATACACTTCTGAAGAAATAAAAATCTACCCAAATGTTATTAATGGATTGACTGTGAATTAAGCTACTTCTTTTATTATCTAGGCAAGGGCATCCTTCAGTGAAACTGGCCTTTTTTTTTTTCCTTTCTTAATTAGAAGTGAATGTTGGTGAATAACATGACTGCTGGACTAATTTGCTTAAATTTATGCTAAGGAAGTAGCAGGCTTTGTTTGTGTGTGTGTGTTTTGCAGTGCTGGAGATTGAGCCCAGCCTCAGACATGCTAGGCAAACACTACCATGTCCCAGCGCCCCACGAGCTAGTTTTAACTACCATTGTTTTTTTCCTGATCACAGTAAAAGAACATGTCTTGATTTTATTACCAAATAAATTTTATGAAATAGTTTTGATTTCACTTCATCTCAAAGGCTCTTTGGGATGCGCCCCTCCCCCACTAGGTCCGTGGAACGCACTCTGAGAACTGCAGATGTGGTTGTTCAAACCACAGTCTTGAGAGTCAGCCTTGTCATCCCTCTCTTCTGTTTTTGGAGCTCCTTAATCACAGTTAACACTTGTGGAGTAAGATGATGTGCTAAGCTGTACCGGCACTTTTACATGGTATCAGATTCTTTCATTCTTCCCCAGCACTATGAGACAGGTGCTGTTTACATCATCCTGTGTACAGGCGAGGACCCTGAGGAACAAACGTCATCTGCCCGGCATCCACTGTGGAGCCTGACTCCAGTGCCCCTGGGCCCTACTCCCTCCAGCTGTCACCGGCCTTTTCTGCTTCCAAAGTCCTGCCCGGCCAAGGACTCACCCCCTCTGGCTGGCTTTCTAGGCCCTGCCCCTTCCCATCCTGCTTTCCAGCACATGTCAGAGCTCTTTTTCCAAAGCCCAGGTTTTCCCAGGCTCCTACCCCCTTCACACACCCTTCTGCAGTGACCCCAGCTGAGAGGCCAAGCCCCTTTGCACACAGGGTCCTGGCATGCGGGAAGGTAGACCACTGGAACGCCTTCCTCCACAGTCCCTACCCTTGCCCACGCGTGCCCCATCCTGCCACCTCCCGTCTTCCCCAGCCAGGCCCATTTACCCCCTCATCCCAAGGCCCAGCCCCTCTGGAAAGCTGCCCCGCTCCCCATGTACCTGCCTGTACCCCTGCAGTGCTCGCGGGCAAGGCTGTCTCTGCCGTCACCGGCCTGCCTGGCCAGCCTCAGCCTGCTCTGGAGGGGGAGAGAGAGCAGCAGAGGTGTGTGCTGGCTGATCTAACCGGACGCTGGGGCCACTCCCTTGTAGGAGCTTTGCAGGTGGCACTTGTGGCCCCACAGGTTCTCTCCCTCTCGAGGCAGAGCTGCTGCTGCCCTCTGGGACTCCGGAAGCGTGGGGGGAGTCCAGGCAGAGGTTCCCTTGGCGCTGTGGAGCGGCTCTCGGCTGCCATCTCAGGGAGGGCCGGGTGGGGTGGGAGCCGGAGCACACTTTAGATTCCAGTGGTTGTGATGCTCCGGGATGAGAAGAGTGGGGAACTAGGGCAGCAGCGTTGGGAATCCAGAGACCGGGGGGGGGGGCAGTGGACATAGGAAAGTGAGTGCAGGGTCCTCTGGGCCACAGGGGCATGGCAGTTAGTAAGAAATTGTATCTGGCCATTGAGTTTAAGTCTGTGGGGTGTGAGGAAGAGTAAGTGTGTGATAGGTATCTGCTGTTAATCACAGTGGAAACCAATATAAGGGTACCAGGGGGTGGGGCATGACATTGGAAGGCCTCACAGAGGAGGGGACATCTAGTTCGTTCATTACGTTAAACTTTAGGACAAGAGTAATGAACAAAAATTCCTGACCCTTCGGAGCTCAATTCTAGTGTATGTATGTGTGAGGAAAACGGCAAACGCGTCAGTATTGGATCAAACCAGGTAAGGGATTGAGGGAGGTGCTGTGTTAGGTGGGTGCTCAGGGAAAGCCTCGGTGCACATTTGAGCAGAGGACTGACGTGAGGTAAGTTACGTAGATAAGAAGGAAGAAAGTTCCAGGGCGGGGGCAGCAAGCCCAGAGGACCTTGGCCTGATTCACGAATAAGGAGGTTTTGGTGAGGCTGGGGCGTAGTAAAGGATTCTGCCGGCTGTGCGGACACGGACTGCAGCAGGGAGAGCAGAAGCAGTCAGCCGCACAGTCCGGGCGAGGGCAGCTGCTGGAAGTGAGGAGAGACGCCTCCCAGATGTGTCAGAGGGACTGAGAGGTTCCGCAAGAGATGATGCGGGAACACAGGCAGCCGGCAGATAAGGCGAAGGCCAGCAGCTGAAGCAAGGCTGTTACTGGGAAGAGGACCTGGAGAGCATTAGGATATCCAGCTGGTTTCAGGCAGGTTGAATGTTTAAAATGTTCCTTTATATTTTTTTAAATGAAGATTTTTAAATGTTCAGCAAAGTTGAAAAGACTTTATAATATACACACCATCAACATTTTGCTATGCTTGCTTTGTCACTGCCTTCTTCTATTGTCCTGTCTTACCTTCTGGTTCATTTAAGAAGAGATGGAAAGCCAGACGTGGTGGCACATGCCTGTAATCCCAGCACTCCGGAGGCTGAGGCAGGAGGATTGCTCTGAGTTTGAGATCAGCCTGGGCTACACAGTGAGTTCCAGGTCAGCTTCAACTACATAGTGAGACCCTGTCTCAAAAAAAAGGAGATATTGGTACACTTCTCTGTGAATATTTGAGCATATATAATAATAAACAGTTCAATATTTGTTTAGCTTTTCTTTTGAGGCAAATTTTACTTTCAGTAAAATTATGTCTTTTTTTTGGGCCCCTCACACTCCCCCACTGTGGTGCAGGGCTTATTCACATATGCTGGGCAAGCACTCTGAGCTGTGTCCCCAGCCTGAAACATACAGACCTTTCGTATATACTCCTGGTAGACTGTAATGCAGACTTCTCTCAGAACATTACCATCACCCCCAGAAAGTTGCCTTTCCCAGTTAATCTGTGCTGTCACCTCCCTTGAACCTTAGTTCTGGGTTTTTTTCTACCAGGGTTCAGTATTACCTCAAGTAGAACTTCATATAGAGAAACAGCATATAAGTCTTTATGTGAGGCTTTCATTTAGCACTGGGTATTTGAGCTTCCTCCATGTTGGGTGTTGTGGCCTTTAATGCTGATATGTGAATTTTCATTGGGATAAAACACAGATTAGTAAAGCATGCTCTTGATGTACGAGGGTGGGTTGTGAACGGGTGGCCTTGGGTACTATATATGCGGTTCCTCACCTGCTCTTCTCTGGCACTGCTGCTTTGTTCTGCTTCCCAGAGACCATGAGCTAAGCAGCTTTGCTCTGTGACCCCTTTCCATTGTGATGTTCTTGCCTTGAGGCCAACTGACCATGGATGGAACCGCCTCAAACTGTGACCTAAACTGAACCTCTGTGGGTGTCAGATATTATATCTCAGGGATTAGAAACCTGAGTAATACACGCACTAATACTTTTTGTTCCTTTTTCCTTTCTCTGCTTTGCAGCCCTGGGGATGGAACCCAGGGCCTCACACATACTAGAACAATGCTCTACCACTGAGATTTACATCCTCGGTCTTAAAAAAAATTGTTTTAGCCGACTGTGGTAGCACATGACTGTAATGCCAGTATTTGGGAGGCTGAGGCAGGAGGATCACCATGAGTTTGAGGCCAGCCTGGACTACATAGTAAGTTCAAGGCCAGCCCGAAATACATGAGACAGGGCCTTGAACTTGTGACCCTTTAGCTTCGGCCTCCTCAGTAGCTGAGATGACGGGCGTGCCACTGCACCTGGAAGTACACTGTTCCCCTCTCTTGGTTGGTGATATGCACTGTATGGATATACCACAGCTACTTTTGTGCTATTCAACTATTTTGCATAATGATGCTATAAATATTCTTTTATTTTTTTTTCTAGTGCTAGAAAAACCCAGGACCTTGCTTTACTGGGGAAAGGCTGTATACTTAGCTACATTCTTAGTACATCATGGACAGTCTTGTATTTTATGGACATACATAATTATTTTTCATACTTGAGTATGGAATTTCAGAGACATACAGTACAGGTGTATTTTAATTTTATTTTAAAAAACCCAAGGCCGGGTGTGGTGGCGCATGCCTGTAATCCCAGCACTTGGGAGGGTGAGGCAGGAGGATCGCTATGAATTCAAGAGCAGCCTGGACTACACAGTTCCAGGTCAGTCTAAACTACATAGCGAGACCCTGTCTCAAAGAACAAAAAACAAACATAGTCTTTGATTTAAGGACAGTGGGATGTCAGAGGGGGTGACAGATGGGGTCAGAATGGTTCATAATAGATCTCAGCTGTACCTGTAGAGTTATAGGTCCATAAAAACATCAGAAGCAATTATGGTAAAAAAAAATTTTTTTTTCGTACTGGGGATCGAACTTGGGACCTTGCAGGGAAGGCGGCAGAACCACTGAGCTCAATTCCTGGCTGTAAAATGTTAAGATTTAATAAACTGAATAGTGGCTCCACGCTCCACCATACCCTGGATATTAATCTCTCTGTACCTTTTTTACCTGGTTGCTGACTTGCTCATTCCTGAGGGTTCTGACTGCTTTTCACCCCTGCACCCTGCCTCCGTGGGTGATGGGCCTGGCCAAGCAGGAGGTGGTAGGGGACAGCACTGTCCTCTCCCAGTCCTGTGTCTGTCACGGCATTTCTTTATTACCCTCACCTTTCTTATTTCTATTCTTTATGTCTTTCACAGTGACCCTCATAATGGTATCTCTTTTCCCTTGAATTTCTCATAATTTTTTACTTCTTTTTTCTTTTTGGTACGGAGGTGTCGAACTTGGGACCTCGCACTTGGAGGCAGGTGGCGGCAGCACCACTGAGCTAAATCCCCTGCGCAATTTTTTACTTCTGAAATGGATTTTTGTGTTTTTTCCCCCCACACTTCTGTTCTACATCTCCCAGTTCCTGGTTCTTGTCTGTCTGCTCTCTCCTTCTGGTATCTGATCACCCCTTCCAGCAGTTCTTTCTTTCTGCTCTGCCATCTCCCTGCACAGTTGCCATTGCTTCCTTATATATTTTTAATTCATAACAACATAGTGTTGAGTTAAAGTCTTCTGCATGGTGGTGATATTTTCCTGATGAGTTTCCTTTCTACAGAGAAGTTTCGCTACTGCTTTTTAGTTTTGTTTTCGGCAGTACTTTTTTATGACCATTTTTCCTATGATGCGTTTAATTGGATGTTCAGTTTCAACTTTATGTCATTTTAGCTTTGGATGAGCTGGATTTTTCTAAGCCAACAATTAGCCAAAGAATCCTATGGTGGGAGACAGGAGGGAGCAGTCTTCCTGGAGCCTGGCCTCAAGTCGTGCTCTGTCTTCTGGTTCGGGTGGGGCTGCTCCTGGTGTAGCCAGGCTGCCTCTCGCAGCAGGTTCCTGACCTGACTCTGGTGGCCTCCAAAAGCTGGCTGGAGCTGCCGTGCTTCCCTCTGCAGCCGCTGATGCTGAGCTGTCCCTCCCCTTCCTGCCAAGGGGCTCCTCTGTTGGAAGTGGCTCTGCCCTCCGCTGCACTCACTGGGTTATTCTTCCTATCCCAGTGTGCTGGCCTTGTCCTTGCAGTTCCCACCAGGTTAAGCCCTGTCCACCTAGGGTGGAATTTCCCCTGGGGAATGCTGGGATCCGCCACTGCCTGGACTTCTATGCAGCTCCTGATACTCTTGTTTTCTGTGTTGGTCAGGAGCGATGCTCCACACAATATGAACTATGTGGACCTTTGCTTTTTGTTTCACTGAAGATGCGGTTTGTAGCTGTCTCATCCCCTTCATTCCTATATGGTTTTTAACAGCAGTGCACAGATCTGCTGAACTGTTACCGTGGACCAGCGTTACCATGTCCGGACCAGCTGTGTAGAGCCCTTTGCAGGCATGCAGGACCCTCAGCAGTCTGGCCCAGGGTTTCCTTCGGCTTTTCACTGTGCTTTTAAGTATGACCACTGCTCTAGCCAAACCAGTCTCCTTCCACCTGGGGAGCTCTGCCACATTCCTTCCTCCGTTTCCTACTTTGTTCCAAGGCTGCTGTGTCCACTCCAGTGCCTCTGTGACAGCTCTGGTGTTGGTGACCCACCATGTGTCTTTCTCCCTGCCTTTCTAGGATCAGGACCGAACCCCACTCCCATGAGGGCCAGGTGCATAAACCCACCGTGATTGTTAATTATGATGTGTCAGTTTGAATGGATGAAGTATCACTGAGCAGATTAGTAGGGCGTAGTTCTGGGCGTGTCTGGATGGTTGACTGTAGGCTGCAAACAAATCTTCCACCCCAGATGTGGGTGGCATCAACAAATTAGCTTGTATCCTGAATGGACCAGAAGTGCAAAGAAGGAAGTCTTCTCTTTTTCCCCCTCACAAGACCATCACCATTGCCTTTGTTCCTGTCCAGTTCCTTCAGGCTTCCGACACAGACCCTTTGGCTCCTGGACGCGGACTCGCACTGGATTCTCCAGCTCTCCAGCGTGCAGATGGCCATTTTCCAGTCTTCTACTCCTGGCTCTTCAGGTAGCTACCATAAGCACACCTGGTAAATCCTTTATGTATCATACATTTCCATATTAAATCCGTTCCTCTAGTGAACCCTAAGTGATAACCAGCATGTGAGTGGGTGTGCTCCTTCCCTGGGCAACAGTGACTGCTTCAGGGCAAGGCAGATGCCAAGAGCTGATGTCCTTCTTTAACTTTCCACCACTACAGCCGAGAAGTCTGCCTCTTTCTCTGTCGCTGCGTCCATGAACGCGCATCCCCACCTGCAGGACTAAAGGGCATGGCTGACAGAGCGGAGAGAGGGTCCTTATTTAAGTCCTGGTCTTCCTGTGGTTCCTTGTAACATAAGTCAGTTCACCACATACTAGCTCAAGATACTTGGGGCCCATTTTGTCACGTGCCACTGAAAGGGTCCTGACAAATACACCTGACTTTGTTCTCTCTTCGCACCTGTGTGCTGGTCATTGTCTGTGTCTCCCACTAAGTGTCCTCCACTACATCTCCTGTACCCAGTACTAGCTTCGTGACTGGCCAGCACTGAACAATAAATTTAAGTTAAAAAAAAATAAAAAGTCCATTTCTGCCTTTCCAGAGTCTTCGCATTCCTCGAGGTCTTGCACTTCTACTCCTTCAGGAAGTCTTCCTGTCTGGTGAGCAAATGTCTGGGCAGTGTCCTGCACGGTCCAGCCTCTCACAAGAGCTGTGTCCTCCCCGCAGAGTGATGTCTCCCGCCTTGGAGCTCCTGTATCTCAATCAAACGGCATCTCTCAGTGTCTTTCATTAGAGCTTTCAGTGTAATCGTAAGTCCCAGGAAGGAAGGACCCAGCACCATGCCTCTTCCTCAGAAATCTTTGGTTGCTCCACGCACTCACAGTCAGTACTGAGGTGAGGTGGAAGCTGGTAGGATTATTGGCTTCAGGGGTCCTTATGCTGTGTGACACGTGGGTAGGTTCACAGGACCAGGGAAACGCTGAATCTTCCTTCTGCAAAAGGTGTGAATGCCACTTGAAAATCTAATTAAAATAATAATAACCACTTAACGCTCCACTTATTTACTGTTTTTATATTTGGTCCTGGCC